CTCTCTCTCTCTCTCTCTCTCCCTCTCTCTCTCTCTCTCTCTGTGTGTGGAGAGTGACACAACACAGCGGCATGAAGGAAATTGTTGTGAGAAACTACCCCAAGGGAAGACGAGGAGGGAGAGGGACAAGACTTCACGCTTTTAACCAGTTGCCGGGTTGGTTGAAGGATCGACTCATTGGTTGCGTATTCTTCACTGAGTTTGCTGACCCATTCATTCGTTCATTTATTGACTGATCCAGCTGGTTCATCGAGCAATCGACTTTCACTACCGTTAGACACATCCTGCTGCTGCTGCTGCTGCCACTGCTGCTGCCGCAGATGCTAATGGACATAATGCTGATGATCTCTTATGACGATTGGTGACCGATGATGATGACGATGATGATGACAATGACGATGATGATGACGATGACGATGACGACGACGATGATGATGATGATGATGATGATGATGATGATGTCGATGACGATGACGATGACAACGGTGTTTCTGTCTTCATGTTGTTGATAATGGCGAGCAACTGCCGGAAATTATTGTTGACGTCCGACGTCCGCAGCAATTACTGGCGGAAATGACCGTAGACGGTTGTCTCACGCGAGGACTTTCTATACGATGGCGGAGGCAGAAATCTCCACGACTATGTGTGGATTGATGATGCATCTTGAAGAATATCCCGTCCAGGTGAACACGGGTGAATCGACTGACGAATCACTGATTGGAATCGAGTTGTTGGGCTTTTCTCCTTCTCCACTCAAGGAACTTGAGATTTGCATTCATGCCCTCGAATTTGAACAAGCCGAGGGAATAATTAGCGACCTCTTCCGCCAGCGCCCAGCTCACGGCTGCACCTCCGACTAGACCAACTGCCGCCGCCGGAACATTCCGCGCCTGGCGGAGTATGAACGCAAGGGAGCCAGCGCCGCCGACCGCTGCCGCGACAGCTGCAGCGGTCCCCGCCTTCTGAAGGGCCTGAACCTGGGCACCATGAACAGGGTCCTCCTTAGCAAATTCTGCCACGTCGGCACTAGTCCACGCTGGCAATGGCTCCGCATCTTGTTCTACGCTCTTGATTTTGTAATAGATGCTGAAGGCTTCCCGCCACGCTTGCTTGTCGATCGCCCACCAGGGCTTGTATCCTCCACCTGCCTCTCCACCTCCCGCCATCCCCGCCACAACCTTCTCTTCCTCTCTCCCCCCCGCTTCTCCTCTCCCTCACTATCTATTTTCTATCTACTCGCACTCACTTATATAAACTCCGGCGAAACAGTTTGTCACAGCCCCTCGTTTGTTGTCCTCTTCTCCCTCTCTGCCTCCGGTTTACCAGGAAGTTCTGTTTGACGCTCTCTCTCTCTCTCTCTCTCTCTCTCTCTCTCTCTCTCTCTCTCTCTCTCTCTCTCTCTCTCACACACACACACACACACACACAGAAGACTCGTTAGAGAAGGTTCTTCAGAAAGCCGCGTATCCCCTCTCTTCGTGCTATTTGCATCGTCGCAACCTTTTCGTAAGCAGCGCCACGTGGCAGACAGCAAAAACCGACCAATCAGATCAAATCAAACGTCAGCAGACATATTTTTCCTCTCAGTTTTTTTCTTTCCTTTCCTTCCCTTTTGTCTTTTTCTATTTTTTCCTTGACCGTAATTAGTAATCACATACAGGGGAACTCGTCCTTCTTGCAGTACTTTCCTTTTCTTTTTTACTGTTTTGCTGTTCAGCACACACGGATTCCGCCCCCCCCCCTCTCTTTTGCTTCCCCCTCCCCTTCTTTTCTTTGAAAAAAAAAAGTGGACCCAGCGCGGCGAAGCCCCAACCCTGCAAACCCGCCCCCCAGTCCTGTCTATACACGACAGGACGTGTGGCAATGTCGGTGTGTGTGTGTGTGTGTGTGTGTGTGTAGGATGAGCAAAATCCGAATGAATCTTCAGCCAGAACATATACACTGCCACTACGGCGGCAAAAAAAAGGCGCACGCCGAAATCAACTCCATCTTCACCTTCATCACCGCCTTCTCGTCATCAATCACCCTCGGTGACTCTCATCTTCATCCCATAGTCTCATGTTCACACCTTCCACACCTTCCCCCTCTCTCTCTCTCTCTCTCTCTCTCTCTCTCTCTCTCTCTCTCTCTCTCTCTCT